TATTTCGTCCTCGGTGGCATTAGCGGGAGAGCATCGCTACACCTTTTTCCAGAGAAATTTCTTTTTGCATTGTCTGTGTCAGGCGATTCCGCGTATGGTGCCGCCAACACTGAATGCGTAGTCGAAGCTGGAACAAATTAATCCACAGTCACGGATGTTTAGAAGGCTTGTCATGCACCACGAAACGTGCCGAGGTTGTTATTACAAACTTTTTGCTGACCACATGATCAGCACATAATTCCATATGGTTGCCCAATGAGCTAGCTAAGCACCTGTAGCAAAGGCAGTGCACGTTCTTGTTAAACGTTGTTAATATAAACGATGGTTGTGCATAAGTGCAGTGACAGCTTTCCGTGTGAATTGGTCATAACCCACGTTTTCGAGCGTAGAAGCGCCTCAACGGAGCTAATCAGTTACCACAGCAAGTTCGTAAGCAATGATGAGGTACGAAAATGTGCAGTTATTTTCCATGTACTGAATAGTTAGTGTACAGTGCCTTGACCACCGCCTTTTCTTAAGCCACCTCCCATATAGACTCCCAGTCTGAACAGGTGTGGGACCTTAAACACTAAGAAGCAGTGCCCCCCCCCCGCACGCACACACGAAATTTGAGGGCGCACGGGCTGATGCACACGCATACTTATTCACAGGCGCACACACATACACGTATACACACATACGGCAACACACACACGCGACCGTAAACGCACGCATGCATGGGCGTACACATGTGCACAGGCACGCCTAATACAAGCACGGACTCGCACATACACGCACACGCACACATGCACGGGTGTACACACAATCGCGCTTACACGCGAACACATGCGCAGGCTCACGCACACACACCCATACTCGGGCGAACATTATGTTCCTGTATATAATCCACAGCAAACATGTAGCTTATAACCAACGCTAAGGTAAGCTTTCGTAACGTGGATTGCAGTTAATTGCCATTATAGATGAAACGCGATTTGCTTCTGCTGGCATTCTGCTGTATTCGGAGAGCACCTTCACACATTCGAAGTCTAGGCCGTCATTTAACGCAAGGTCCACATATTCGTGCAGTAGCTACGCTGCTCGGCCGCCAATCCGAAGGTCGCGGGTTCGATGCCGGCCGTGGCAGTCGAATTCAGATGGAGGCGAAAAGGTAGAAGCCTGTGCACTGCGCGATATCAGCGCCCATTAAAGAACACCAAATGGTCAAAATCTCTAGAGCTTTCCACTACGACGACCCTCATAATCATATCGAGGTTTTTGAGACGTAAAATACCAAATATTATAATTATGTGTTCTTCTTATGCTGCATATTGCATCTGATGAATCGTCACCTACACCCTTCTCAGGCACAAAAGCACCCTTAGAGCCTATTTTAGGGTGCTATCGAGGCAAGCACCCAAACAAATGGGTGCTTTTTTTTTCAATCGACCATTTATGGGTGTTAAAGGGTGTTGCAAAGGGTGCTTTCCCGTAAAAGCACCCTTTTTACACCCTTTTGGGTGCAAAATTTTTTACTGTGTAGCTAAGTACCGGCAAGATACTGCTGTTATATACCTTTCTCTTGAGGGACAGTGGTAATCTACCTGTCATAATTTGAGAGTGTTTGCCAAATGTGCTCCACCCCATTCTTATTCTTCTAGTTATTTCAATCTCGTGGTTCCGCTCCACGGTTATTACCTGCCCTAAGTAGACATAGTATTTTACAACTTGAAGTGCACTATTACCTATCTCGAAGCGCTGCTCTTTCCCGAGGTTGTTGTACATTACTTTCGTTTTCTGCAGATTCATTTTAAGACCCACCTTTCTGCTCTCCTGGTCTAACTCCGTAATCATGAGTTCCAATTCGTCCCCTGAGTTTCTCAGCAATGCAATGTCATCGGCGAAGCGCAGGTTACTAAGGTACTCTTCATTAAACCTTATCCCTAACTGTTCCCATTCTAGGCTTCTGAAAACCTCCTGTAAGCACGCGAAAAAAATAGCAATGAGGAGATTGTGTCCCCCTGCCTTACACCTTTTTTGATTGGTATTCTGTTTCTTTCTTTATGAAGCACTATGGTAGCAGTTGATCCCCTGTTGATCCCCTGTAGAAAAGGCATACATAAGTAATACTAAGAACCGTAGCGCTTATCGTGCTGCGCTGACCATCCAACGCTTGCACAGAAAGGCGAGTGTTTCCAACGCTTTGCTAAAACGAGACGGTGGTTGCACCTACCCGTCGCCTTGCGTTCTACACCTTATCACCTCTGAGGCGGGCGGTCAAACCCGTCTCAGAGTCTCGCCCTTTGTTTTTGAAAAAAAACTACCAGATGGCGGTCATGTCTCACGTGTGACGTGACTTGATGCGCCCGTTCACCTCCGCTGCACGCTCGAGGTACTCTAACGCAGCGGCTCCAGAATACCATTCACCGATTTTCTTGAGCAGAACATCAAATAAATGTTTTGTTCACTCTCTCCACACGCAAGACTATCGTCTTTTGACGACATTTGCAGATTAAATGCAGATACGCGGTCAATTTTGTCTCCCGTGGCTCTTATAAATCTCCGTAGGGGCACCTTATTGGCTTAAAATGTTCACGCCCACACGTGCCGCAACCAAGCTTTATCTTCATCGTCCTCTTTGGTTGAGGCTGATGGCGTGGCGCACTTTTCAAACGCGCACAATCACACCACAACTGGCCAGGAATGAGAATCTGATAAAAAAAGACGCTATTTACGAGTGCGAAGCGCTTGGGAGCTATTGTTGTCGATTATAGATGTGCTGGTTAAGAAAGCAAAGCTATTTTTATTAGTTTTTATAAACTGCAGCCTCTAGTTGTGCAGACGTATTCTAGCGCACATCCACCTAGCCATAGGCGGCGCAGTAACTACGCAAAAGTAGGTGCATTTTTACATTGTGGGCAAGGAGTTATGGAGTCGCCCTCCAACAGATGCGCCTCAATTGATGCTAAGTATGACAACGCCGGTGTGCTCCTAATAGTCGTTGCTGGCGGCGCTCTACTAAAACACCTCTCTGAGCCCCTCCAGTGCATGGAAGCACTTTTGAAACTCAATGTATTTTCTACGGAGAAAACAAAATTTACTACAAACAGAAGGAAGAAGGTCATTTACAGTCACAGCGGGCTCTCCATTTTCTGCTTTATGCAGAAACTGGAGAGCCTGCTTGTTGCGTTAACCGCGATGGAGACCTCTGAATGTTGTTATTGAGTGAAATGTAAGCGGTCGCTGTGAGCAAACTATGCGAAATGTCTTGTGAGAGCACAGTGCATGTATGCTCAAACAGAGCATAGTAGAAAGAAGCCTCAAGCCATCGCAATCGTGCGGGCTTGCAAAGAAACAACGATGGTTCTGCCGGCATGCGCATCTGCATATTGGGACTGATGATATCGCTTTTGCTACGAGCGCACTTTCGGCCCCGTGCTGTGCAGTGTAGGACGCAAGACAGGAGAATCAAAGAATACGCAAATAACTATCGTTATGCGACCACTGTCAGGGTTTAAAAAATTCGTTGAAATAGCGACTTCAGTGCACCTATAGCTACTCAAGATGTGCCTTACCACAGAATCAATGTTTCATTTTTTCTGTCTCAATATAGGCTACAATATCATATTACAAGTTAGGTCGTCGCGTGGCTTGCGAAAGCGAAAGCTCTAGATGCCCCATCAAAAGAGAACATTGATGACCAGTGTCCCATGTCAGCAGCGTGAACACAAGCGATGCTAAAATCACCACGCGGGGCCATCACTTTATCTGGTGCCATGACTTCACAAATCGCCAAACTTACTGACGTCTTTATTACGTCACCATAACGCCATATAACCTGCCGCTGCAAGCGAGGTAATCACAGGACTTGACAGTTTTTGACAGCCTCCCTGGTCAGCCCACCGATCACTGAGATCACTGCACAAGCAACTGACGCTGGTCGCTGAGACCACGTGGTCCTGCCAGGCACGTCAGGCCGACGGTGGCACTAGTGTTTACAGCGGTGGGCCTTGTGCCCATTAATGAGGGCGCAAACGTGAATTAATACAAATTTTCTGCTTATAAAGTCGCAAGGGCACGGATGACAAACATGAAATAGTTTAGTACAGTTTACTTAAGGAGTATGACCTTGTGCTGTAAGCGACGAGGACTTCATGCATGAAGGCATGAGTGTCAACATGCCATCAAGCCACTGGACCCTTGTGTTCCAGCTGTCCGCCATCAAAGGCCAGAACAATGGTGTGAACGTAAAAAGTAGCACCTTCTGAGCGGCGCTTATGAGTGGAACGAGGGGAGGTGTCAGGTAGAGAAGATTTCGCAGCCACGCGGTCCTGTCAGAATGTCTACGGCGGCGTTCAGATGGTTGGTTAGCATCAGTACATAAAGATATATTAGCTGACACGCCTACAAACATTGCAATAAAGTATCGAGCTGTTATCTGTTGCTTATAATGCGTATCAAAAGGTTAAAATTAATGAACCTTATGTTACTCGGAGTAGGTGAAAACAGGGTTATTACAAAATTTTTGTTATCCTAAGGGCCGACGTCACAACCATGACTGGCACGCCTATAAACGGGGCACCCAGAAAAAGCTTGGGGACAAAGCACGGCAGAAAACTTGTGATCCCTGCTATTATTGTGTGCACGGGGTAATATTTGCCTCTAGAGACCTTGCTGTTCATGTTGGCAGGCCGAGTAGTCAGTTTATGAATCAACATTTTGGTTGTCACTACATCTGTCGCGTTTATATGTCATTTGTTCTTGTAGCCATTAGCGGTGACCGTGCCAACGCAAGTATCTGTACGGGTCATTGAAACTTGGTAGCAACGCCTTTGAAATTCATTCTATGGCGAACTGTGTTTTGTGTTCTTTCGCTCAAAAAAAAATGTGTGCGTAACATTCGCTGGTTTTTTTATTATTGCGCTTTTCAGGATACAAATAAAGAGAAAAACTACATGGCACAAAACGACAACCACAATAAACATTTATATGGTAGTCGTACGCTTCCCACTTTTGAATATAATGCGTTTTCTTTATTCAGGCCCCTTCGTATTACTCCTAAGTGTGCTGTGGAGAACAGCTTGGCAGTTGCGGTAATACCTTCGGTATTTTTTTCTGCCTCGTAGCATTCCCTCGAAGGGTTTCCAGCATTTGCTGTTTTGAGAAGAATTTTTCTTGATATACGGATCCTTTATTCGAAGGTCATAGGACGGTGTCAACTGATCTGAAAACAAGTAGATAAAGCTAGAATTGAGCAAAATGGGGCAAATTAGTGGATTTAGGCTTTGGTAAACCCTTCATGGTAAATAGGCAACAGAAATATCGAATTGATTGTTGATATAAAAACACCAAGCCTTTTGGTCAGCTGGTTGGACCCAAGAAGAATGGCTCAACCCACCATGGTGGATCGTCCATTAACCACGCGGCAGTGTGATTATGAAAGTACAGAGGCAGGGGGGGGGGGTATTCAAATTTTCTGTAGGTAACCGAAAAGATCAGATGTTCAAACAGTTTACCGCATATTTTGAATTAGAATTGGAGAAAAAAATATTATAAAATTTATGTGTCAGAAAACAAAATCACAGAGTTAATGTTTTCTTCTGGACATGGCTCATAGCAAACGGAGAGAAGTGACCGAGTACAGAGTGAATTTTCCGAATACTTTATGCATTGCTTCATTCCTAGAAGCACTAGTTAGTTGATTAACGAATTGAAGTAATTATTGCCTGTTTTAAATTACGTAAGTAAAAGAAAATTCAGCTAGAAAACCATTTAGTCAATGTGATATCATGATTCCTCAATGGCTAGTGAAACAACCGTGTGGCTATAGCTCAATGTAGAGCATAAAAAAACAGTTTTTGATCATTGCATGCCTAGTTTTCAAAGAAGTGGTATTTGCATGCTTTTCTTGAATAAGTGTTATCGGTGACAAAATAATAATTATAAATGGCCAATCTTTTGCATCTGATTAGAGTAAACGCGCATAAAGAAATTCAATAAACCTGATCTGTGGAAGTAAAACTTGAAGCTGGTAATGCGGCGACAAAATTTTTTGATAAAAACTTCGACCATTCCTGATTTAGACAGGTTTCTGGGCCAAAGAAATAACAAGTGATTGTACTTCAAAGAAGCAGTTAGTGAATAGTTTGATGAACTTCGCCTGAATTTAAGCGTGTAAAATCACTCCACAATAATGTATGCTGTAAGTAGAAAAACAGGAACAACAGGCACTAAAAGCGGCACTTTCGCAGCAAAGTAAGCGAATTCATTTAACAACGAACCTTCATGCACTGGCGAACGTATTAAAATATTGCATCGGAGATGAAAAATAACTAGCGATTCAAAAAGTTTCAGCAAGGGTGAGCCACCGGTTGTGGGCAAAGAAAAGCACAAAGATAATGAATCAGTTGCGCAAATTCAGTATGAAATACAGGAAAGAAATCTAGCAGTGACCAGTCAAGTTCCGGGCAAAATATTCTAACGCCAGACGTTTTCTCCGATTGCGATTCGTTCGTTGCGATAATGAAGTTTCTTGCTAGAGTGTTTAAATATGCCTGCAATAACCCATTTTAAATCACGTAAGGTAACAGTTTGGCGGGATTTGGAAAGATATGGTAAGCGGTTTCAGGAGAATTTCGCTGTGCAATTATAGAAAGCAAATGACCAACTTGTGCATTTCGAGGCTCATCCAACGATTCAACGATATTTGTGGTTTGCCAGGAACATAAATGGAACTGATTTGATCGCGGTTGGAGATCGCATCATATAAATCTTGAAGTCTGCACTGTAAGAGTGCTAAAGTGGCACAGAAGGAGCTGCATTCGTGCTTCCAGGTATAACACTGCATTCGCATCATACTTCGAAAGTCCTAAGCAGAGCTGTAACGCTGCTCTCTCCAGTGGAACTAGCTAGTAGGCTGCTGCAACAGCAGAAATAACGCTGCTGAACTTCGAACATAGGTCGGACATACATTTTGTATATCATCAGAAGTTTCTTCTCATTCCACATCTACAGCTGCTCAACCTCAGCAAAACGCCCCTTGCGCATTCCTCCTTTTGTCGCGATGTATTCAGTGCGAGGGCGCAATTAGAGATATTCCTTATATTATTATCAAGATCGTGAACAGAAAAAACAAGAATATCACACTTAATATTATTCTGGTTCAACTGTGAACCATCTAGCCAATGTTCCGAGTGGATGTAATTATGAATGCAATATATTGGAAAGACATGAATATTATTAGTCATCAAAAATAAAGCAATGCCGTCGGCATAGATGTTATTAGATTCCTATTTTCATTTATTTAGAGGTATTTTTATTTTATTATTTGTTTCTTATTAATAATATTTCATTATTACTTATACCGAGAGCACCCGAATAGGGCATGATTGCATGCAATCAATTACGCATATATTTATAAATAAATGTAGGAAATCATCGTGATCGAAACTATACACAGGTGGAAAAAGGCATCACAGTAATAGGAATAACAAAAAGTGCACAAGACAGTCACATGGTAGCGACGTTTCTTCTAATATTTAACTAGATTCACAAAGAGCTGTCAATATATGACGGAAGAAAAGTTTGGTGCACCTAATATATCATCTGGAAGCAGATTCCATTCCTCAATTGTTCTACGAAAAAATGAGAACTCAAAAACTTTAATACGAAAATACTAGGGCCTTTTTTATTGTTGCATGCCTATTTCAGCATGCGCCTAACATCAGTTAGGTACAACGTTTCCGTTAACGAAATGGGTGCACACCTAAATTTAATAAATAAAAGTTTTCAAATCTGGCTGTATAGGTATTGCACTAAGTAGGATTTCAAACAATACAGGCGAAAGTACTGAACCCTGAATTACAGCACAAGTTTATTTGTGCGTTCAAAAAGAGAAACCTACTTGTAAACAATAAAACTGCCTTCCACCTAAAATTTCTGTCACCTTTGCTACAGCATAACCTGCTCATTAAGATAGGATGTTTCACAATATCACATGCTTTACATATGTCTAGTGTAACTGAAGACGCATGCTGCTTTTTGTGACGGGTAACGTGAAGGAGGCTTTAAAAATCTACATGCGCACGTCATATGAAATATTGAGATCTAGAACTGATATTTGAGAAGAACCAAACAGTTGTTTTCTTATTGTTGAGTAATTAACGGGCTAACAGATCACAAAGCTTCGCGAAAGAGACAGACGTGTTCCGACCTTTGTTTTACACTTTAGTGAATGGGGCTGCGCAGATTTGCTCGGTGAACGACAGCGAAACTTTGATTCAGGAATAGGATAGCGCGTGAAGTTCAACAAGTGCATTTTATCAACAAATGAGGTGACGCATGCGTCGCTATACTTTCAGCCACGTTACTTGCCACTCAGTTATATCTCCTGGAAGGGTGTCATTAAGACAATGTTTGTCTGCTCATCCAACCTTTTCATCTACACGTGTTCATCTGGCCATTAATATATGTCTGATGTTACAATAAATTCTCAGTTGAAAGTTCGCGCTGTGTTTTTCATTCCTCCATCCATGCTATCTTTTTTAATGGGAAGCATTTCTTAGCGAACTTCGGTGATTTTGAACGTATCTATCTATCTATCTATCTATCTATCTATCTATCTATCTATCTATCTATCTATCTATCTATCTATCTATCTATCTATCTATCTATCTATCTATCTATCTATCTATCTATCTATCTATCTATCTATCTATCTATCTATCTATCTATCTATCTATCTATCTATCTATCTATCTATCTATCTATCTATCTATCTATCTATCTATCTATCTAGCCGCTTACGTTTGGGTGCTCTCGTGGTCACCCCTTTAACTTGGCGTGAACCAAAATTAGCATGGGAGGGTAAGATGGTTTGACAAATATGACGCGCTGGTCAAGACATGAATAATGTCACGATCCCGTCGCGAACGTCGTCAAACACTTGCCGTCAGACAGTGGCACCTACATACGAGCAGGTATACGCCGCTGGCAAGCAGGTATGTCCCACAGGTGTTTGACACTTCGTATCTACCCAAGAACGAGGAGAACACACATTAGCAATTTTGGCGCGTGAGCGTTAAGCAATGCCCGACATTGGTAGCGTTGACCCAACGAAGGCATAGAATAAATGTTAGTTTTGAAAAAATCTGATATAGTCAGTATTGGCCACCAAAGACTGCAAATAATAAATTTCAGGGTCCCAGCAAGAATCGAACCTAAACATTCTGCGTGGCAGTCAAGCAATCTACCATAATAGAGCTACGCCAGGTCTCGGAACTACTTTTCAAATAGACGGTAAACTTCGTGAAATGTCAATAGTGGTTGCAAGCCAACCACGGTGGTCTAGTGGCTATGGTACTCGGCTGCTGACCCTCAGGTCACGGGATGAAATCCCGGCGACGGCAGCTGCATTTCCGATGGAGGCGGAAATGTTGTAGGCCCGTGTGCTCAGATTTGGGCGCACGTTAAAGAACCCCATGTGGTCGAAATTTCCGGAGCCCTCAACACGGCGTTTCTCATAATCATATGGTGGTTTTGGGGCGTTAAACCCTATATCAATCAATCAATCAATCAATCAATCAATCAATCAATCAATCCATCAATCAATAGCAGTTGCAGTGCTGCCTACCCAATTTTATAAACTCTATATATGTATTCCTTTCATACAGCCGTCATGTCGGGTTGACGTCAATTGTGGTGAGGTGCAATGTGCTGAAATCGCTTTTGGTAGCAGTGTCAAGAACCAGCATCTTCGCGAGCATCAGTGCTTCATATCAGCTATTGGTGTTGCTATTACGCATGTTCCAGTTGGAATCGTTACGCAAGTGCAAATAACTGGCCATACAAACATCTGCAGCTCTTCAACATATCTCTGTGCGTGCAACATTTGTACATATATTTAGCGTCATTTCGTGACGTTTCGCTCAAAAAAAAATGCAACACGGTCACGTTTTCTCCACGTGCTGCGCATAAAGTTAATTCCCAGGTACGTGGGATCTGCCGAATTTTTTCTCAAGATCTTCATAAGATCATTTTAGGAACATTACAATTGTTAGGGAGAAACAGGATGTAGACAGAGAACATAAGGTAGCAGAACATAGTAGAGTAGGCGAGCATCAAACACAATATATATATATGAAAAGGTTGGATCGTAAAAGTGAGGTGAAACAGAAACGTGGCTGGACATCTGCGGATGTAACAGACTAAAGACGTGAAGTAGAGGGCGAGCCGTCAGCTGCCTTTCCGCCTGCCGCGTGCTCGCAAAACAAAACAAAACAAAACGGTGTGCTAAGTGTCGCCAAAAGGCAAAACAAAGTGTTCCACACTCGCTGTGGTGGCTGCGATGGGCACTTACACTCCATGGTTTAAATGCGCAAATACACCATACTAAAGATTTTGAGGAATGACTGCTACTGAATCTCAACTAATATGACATCGGACACGTAATTCGAAGTTGGCCGGTTTGGTTGCTACCAGCGGCAAGTATCGTGTCGCTCATTTGTCTTCAAGCCAATATTATATTTCTCAGACATACCATCCCTTATACTAGGGGCCACAGTCTTGAAAATATACTTTCGCAAAGGCCAGAACAGTGAACGAGGCAAAATCGGGGCGTAGTTTCAAAGTTTTCATTCGAAAGGCCCTTCATATGTGTTATATAGAAGTGATTTCCGGAAGATATTAGGTTTCAGAAACGCGGCAACATATCGGTACCTATCTCCAAAATGATGGAAGTCTGATCACTGATGTTGGGTTTTCTCGTAACCGCGCACGGCGTGCAATAGACAACTTAAGACGTAGGATTAGCCCCTAAGCGTACTATTGCAAATATGGAGTATAGCGTCTATGCTCTATAACAATTTTTGTATTTATATTATATATTGATACTGCAGACCAGTATGCTGGCCTATGTAAGAAGGGCGTTACAATGTAAAAGTATTCATGAGAGACTGAAAATGCCAGAAGGATCACTAAATATAGGCAATTGCTCAAAATTATGCGACAATTTCAGAGCGGCAAACATTCCTTGCAGATTAAATAGAAATAAAATCGTTTCTAGAGTTAGAGCCTATTTTTTTTCAGTCTAACAAAGCGCAACAAACTAAGGTGAACAGAAACTTGCCGTGAAAGTTTCAAAGCATTCAAAAAAGCATTAAAAAAACTTGGATCATGTCCCACTTAAGGGAACAATGTGTAGATGCGAAATAGCGGGCGCTAACGCTTACACTGGCGGCGACGTTGAGGCTGGAGTTCATCAAGTGAAAACCAAGTAAAGGCACACTTGACTGAATTTTGAAAACGCAATCCAGTGTGGACAGTGAGCGGCTGTGCAGCGAGAGCAGTCGGTTTTTTATTAGCAGACCCTGCCTTCGTCGGCCTTGCGAAGCGAGAGAGGACGAGGGGAGTGTAAGTTTTTGGCGGGTGCTTTTCTGGGCTGGCACGAGACAAGAGCATTTGGCACGTGAAGCGAGACGCGAGCATGTGCAATGGAGATGTACAAGCAGACAGTGTTACACAGGCTAGTCAAAGAGCTGCTTCGCATTAAAAAAATCAATGCACAAGCAGTACATACAAATTGCTAACTAGCGAAAGGTGAAACGTGCAGTCCAGGTGTTTAACAGTGGGCTCAAACCGATGTGGCGCTGAAGCATTTCACAATTATTGGTTACAAGTTCGTGCTTCTTAACTAGGTTAGCCACACGTCTGGCTTGTGTTTGCCAAAGTGTTTACTTCACATGCCGCACACTGCCTTCGCGTGATCATAATCATGGAGCAGTTCAATACGTTTTGCCATGCGTTAATTACAGCGGTTGTTCTTGAACCACAGGCGGTCACAGACGTGACAGTCGAAGCTGATGGGACGCTGGGAAAACTCCTGCCGAAAGCAAGCGTGCACCCCGGTGAACGCGCTTCCGCAATCATCACACTGATGTCGCAACAACACGTTGTTGTTAAAAGTGTTTGACATCACGAGCTAAGTCGCCGGCATTGTTTGCGGGATCCCTCCACCACCGGCAATTGCATTCTCGTTTGGGATATAGCGCGGCTGGCAAGGCTGCCGGATCAAGTCAACGCAGTTGCTGCCGGTACTCGGCCTCCCGGGCCTGTTATTATGCCCGGACTGCACCACCAACCCGGCGAATGCAAGCCGTTTTCACTGTCAGCGCTCCTCTAGAGTTGTCCGTGGCATACCCATGTGGAATGATTCAGGAGAAACTGATGTGCACGTGCTCGGCGCCACTGCTGCGATGCGATGAACGACGTCACTCACAACGTAATCAATGGCACGCGTGCTTAGGTATGACGCTGCGAACGACCTAACTGAGAACACAGCCAATGGAGCCAACTGGTGACGTCGCTGACGTACAGTTCGTGCTTCTTTCAGCTACATGCAGCTCTCGGTGTAAAAACAATAAGGAAATTGTTATTTTTGGAAGACTAACCCCCGTATTCACAAACGCTCATCGACTCGACTTTTACTTTTCACTTGACAGGTTTGAGCACTGCGCCGCTGCTCGGCTGAGAATGACGCTACGCGCTACTCAAGAACAGCAGCAAATTATCACTGATATGCAGTGACTTGCCTTGTCTAGAGATAGCACTCCATCGGCTTTCTCAAGTGAACGAGGAGCGTTGAGTGGAGGGGCGTTCTAGAATACAGGGGTAACAGAAGTTCATCTTTCAAGAATCTCTTTTTACATTAATGGTAAATTTTTTCTTTCTTATTTTTACTTGTATGTGGCAAGTGAGCTTAACGACGTTCTTGATTGTCTTTTATTCATTATTACTTTTTGTTCGCGAGTTATGAGTACATTTTTTTGTTTATTCCTGCTTCTACTTTTTAGTTCTAAGTGCCTGTCAAACTCTATAACAATGTTTTTTTGTTTATTGCCTTTCACTTTGAAGAGTTGTACGTAAAACCTTTGTAAAAAAGTGTAGCGTGTGATCTTTATCTATGCTACAAAGTTGCTGAATTACGTCTTTCTTCTGCTGTTGCTGTAAGTGTCGCACGGCCTAGTAATGCTGTGTTTCCTTTAGCCGTGAGCGCTTTACCAATTTCAGTGTTCCAAATAAAATTAATAAAGATTGGATGAAATATACATGTATCAAAATATGGTGACCTCAGTGTTGTCTCACGAGACAAGTGCTTCAGCCCAGCCATGCCTTCGTACCTCATGAACAGCGTATTTTTAAATTTCAACCTGCCGTGTTTCATAAACCTCGCCCCCGAAGTTAGCATGAGACGTGGTGATGAAGGTGTGCTCTACACGTGGTCTTATAGGATTGGCTGGATGAGTTACGCATATGTGGAGACGGATCTCCGATAATAAGTTGCCTACACTGAACTCGAATGGACGCAGGCTCACAACAAGTTTGGTTGTCGAAAAGCTAGATCCAGTAACATCTCCTAATCACCAATTTGCCATATGTTGTTCTGCCCGCGTTTCTGTGACTAGTTGCCTTAATTGTCATTACAATGAGGTAAATATTTATTAGTTGACCACACAAATTTCACGCTTTCCCTTCTACAGTTTATCATTAGATTTATCACCATTTCACAAGTCTCGATAACATAGTGATATGCTACTATATATAGATTATTAGCTATAACTGCTTAACACTCTTAATGTCAACAAAACTGAGAACGTTGTGTAAATAGAGAAAAGACGAAGTTTCATATCCTACACTCCACGCTTAGGGTATTGTGAGAAGAACAAAGTATTTTCAGCACAAGTTTGATACATACATCTATCAGAAGTTAGTATCCAAAACACGGCGCATGTACTGTCATTACTTTGGTACTGCAGTACCTCGGTTGCCCTTGCACGTCGACCTGTAGAAACGAACGCAAAACATAGCGCATTATACTCAACAAGTGATGCGATATCTCGCTTCAAGATGTGTTACGGTAGTTTATTTCATCAGAAAAGAATGTTTCTTAAGAATTGACTTCAGTACAGAAATATAATTCTCTAGGAAGCGTTGAAATAAGAAAAGGCAAGTTATATGGTTGACAGATACTCAGCTGAACATACCCCATGCAGTCACTGACCAAGAAATTGTGGTAAAAAGGGGAACTAATAATCACCAAAAATAAATCGAATGAAATGTATTTTCAGTTATTAAGCGTCATGTGATAAACAGAAAAAAGTAGACGGATGTCCAACATACGTTACGGCAAGGGCCAAGCAACGTATAAATCATCACGTATAATAATAAAAAAACAACACATGGTTGCACGCTACGCCTCAAGAATCCTAAAAGGAATAGGCATGTCACGTGCTGCTGAGCTAAGGGAGTGACGAGAACAAAGTAGTAGTTGGCGCGAGGAGGCGAGCAGGTGGGCTTTCGAAATAAAGCAGTTGCTTTTCGTGTTACAGTGTAGCAGCATCCGTCTTCCTTTGCGTCCCCGCTACAGTGGTGACACCGGACCACGGAACAAGATTGCAGATAATTAAACCTAGCTCTCACACCGAGTGAACTAACATTTGACTCGCCTATCACCATGGCGCGACTACAAGATGAAACGACGGCGCCCTGCATCCTGTTACCACCAAAATTGCACGAATGTCGGCTAAGAAGCCCAGCCATCTGACTGCTCAAGGTGGAGGTTCTTTGGGAGCTAACTTTTGGTCATTATGCTCAAATCGCTTGCGTCATCATTGATATGAACATAGGCCTGTCTCTCGCGCAGGGAGTTTGGAATCCTTTTAACAAAAATCGCTTGCGTCATCATTGATATGAACATAGGCCTGTCTCTCGCACAGGAAGTTTGGAAGCAGTTTCAGTCTGGAAGCGTTATTCGTGCAGATTTGTGTAATATGCACAATGACATGGTCTCGTCCCTAGATCGAACCGGACTGATATAACGGGCCTTCCCATTCGCTGTTGAGTACTTATCTGCCTACTTGTATAGGCCAACAACCTTCATGTTCCGCATGCCCACCGGTGAAAAAGTAGCGAGCGGCACTTTCAAAGTGAACTGCAGAAGAAGCTGAGCCTGACACGACTGCTGACGTTGTCGCCGGCTGAACAAAAAATGCTTCGACTACATCAAGGCTATGTTACATAAACGTCGACTAGGGTAACCACCAACGCCTGCCTCTAAACTTCCAGCTGGACTTCCTGAGAGTGGAATGAACCGACCGTAATAAAAAGAGCATGTTTCGGCAAGCGCCCGCAAACCAGCTGAGAGCTCTGCCTTCTGGAGGCAGCAAAATAGCGCATAGAAGAGCACACTGTGAACACTATTCTCCATGCTAACGTCTATGTAACGACTGTGAAAAGCATTCTTTAGCGCGAACGAACCTGCTCCATCAATACTGACTGTGCTAGACATTTTGTTAGCGCTACGGTTTAATCTTAAAATTTTTATCACTGTCGCATGCATTTTTTGTCTGTAGAAAGATCCAGACATTTTGTGCTGGTGTTTATCCATCATGTGCAGCCGACAAATGAAGAAACCACTGACAGTAGTTTCTTTTTCTTTTCGTTGGAATTTGTGATACATTCGCTCCATTCGCCGATATTTATGTCGCATGATTAAGAGCATTGTATGGCCAGGTTTCGATATGAGCCCCCAAGACCAACCGAACGCCGGTTTGGTGTACTCCTTTATCCTTATGGAGAGAACAGTGATTTCGCGGTTGACCTAGCGAACGATACCTGTTACCCCCGCATTGGAGACGGTCGCTCACCCAAGTAACCACCACTGTGACTTCTCTCACATTATATAAAATGCCATGTTAACTCTTCGACACCCTATTGAAAAAACGTCCACAACAGGAATGGTGGATTCCACCAATTACTATTTTGGTGGATTATGGCGGTGGAAATGTTGGTGGAACATGGTGTATGGTGGCGTATGGTGGAGCGGATGGTGGATGGCGCGCTCCAGCCAGCAACGTTGCAGCGCGAAGCAGCGTCGGAATCACCGTGACGAGCTGCCACTAAAGATAATAAAAATATCTCTATAAAAAAGGATGTAGCAAGCGTCTGCAAAAAGTAAAAAAAAGTTGCGCCAGCGTGGAATTGACCCTGCCACCTCCGAATTTCGAACTGAGCACACCGATCACTGCGTCACGTCGACAGATGGTGACATGGGGGCTAAAGATGTAGTCCACTTACAAAGTCACTATTTAACTTCAGTTCTGTTTGTCGTTTACTCAGGAGGGACGGGATCTGCACCTGCTACTAAAATTTGCACATTTGATAAACACAAACAACTGCTGCCTGTAACGATTGCCACATCGATAATGGAAACAGCGCTATGTTCTTGTTACAATTTACAACCGCAAAAGAAAACAATTCAGTGGACTGAGAAGCAGGTAAAGTTTATTGGCGGTTACTGCCAAGTTTATTATCCTTTTCTTGCTCCTTTCAAAGGGCGATATCAGTTCAGGCTTTATGACGCTTCTATGCTCATTCGATAGATACGCCCACGCAATTGATTTTGATGTTTTTCGCGCAACGCACACCACAGTCGTGCCAGCTATGCCCAATACCATGCCGAATTTTCTATATATTACTGCCTAATAATAGTAGGTCATTTCATCGTTGGGCGAAAGACGTGTCCTACAGATGGTGGCGTAGCATGATTTGAATTGCTATCCCAATTCAACTGGAAACAGCCAAAGTTTTCCCTGTGAAGCATAAATCTCAGAATTTTCGCACATAAATATGACCTTGTTGTCTATTAAAACAAGCGTGCGTATGAACACAGAAGCACACAATAAGTGCAGTACTGGTACACAGCAAATTTCTTAAACGTAGTCTAGCATTCTGTTCTTGTAATGGTGGTTATCAGCAGCTTTCACTAAGCGTTGGTATTCCAATGCATTAGGTATTCTGCATGAAATAAGTGCAAGGTAAACCTTGAGGTAGTTGTACATCTGTCACTGAAAGTGAATAGATGAAAAAAATGACCTAAGTTATAAGCCCACCAGCGTTACAAAATTATCATTATCGTCATCGTTACCTGACTACGCCCCTTGCAGAGTGAAGGCCTCTTACATGGTCTGCCAATTTTTTAATCATATATACCCTAAAGGCCTATTCAGGCATTACATAGGGGAGTTTTATAGGTACAATAAGTTTGCCAACAAAAGCATTATTATTATATTGTAAAATTGGTAAGCAATGTAAAACACAGGTTCACAAACAAAAATGCAAAAGGGGAACAACTGGTGACAAGAATGAAAACTCAATAAGAGGGAAATGGCTATAGTACGAAAAAGTACAAAAATATGTAGAAAATTGTCATGAAAAAAGCAAATACATTTTAGTAAAAAAAGAGTAAAAATAAATACACAAACGAACATACAAATGTGCATATATAGGTAAGTCATATGTCCAAGAAAAAAATCAACTTGTTTACAAAAGCGGCATGATCAATGATTGAAGCGGTGACCCCCGGCAGTGTGTTTCAGTGATGTATGGCTACAAGTAATGATGATTCATCATACATATTTGTGCGTGCAAAGTGGGGCTGTATTTTGAATTGGTGATCGATATGTTTAAAAATACTTTGAGGTTCGTTTATGTGGGCTTCCCAAAAGCAGAATTTACTGTGATAGATTGTATGAAAATTGGACAACAGTGACGACAGTCTGCGTTTATCAAGAGTGGGTGTAATGAAAGGAAATGTTTAATATCTTTAATATTGATGTTTCGAGAATACTGCTTGATGCTAAATCTTGCTGCTTTATTTTGTATTGATTCTAGGTGATCAATGAGATTTAATTATTGTGGGTTCTATATGGATGCACATTCAATCTTTGAATGGACAATTGTAATGTACGCTAGCCTTTTAGTGGTATAGTTCGTAAGTACAGGTTTATTTTAATAAATCCAAGTAATCTTGAAGCATTACTAGTTATAATATCTTATCTATGTGCTCATTCCATAATAGGTCAGATGATAAATGCATTCCAAGGTATTCAAACATGGGTACTTTAATAATGGAGACACCTTGAATTGCATATTGGCTCAGTACAGTTTTAAGTGTTCTTGTAAATGTGATGGTCTTAGTTTTCAGGTGTTAATTTGCATTCGCCATTGGTTGCACAAAAGGGCGAGCTTATTAAGATCAGACTAGTATTTTTTAAACTTTGGTGGTGTCAATGTTTCTGTAAATGATGCAGTCATCGGCAAGCTGATTGTAGATGTTAAACCATGTCCAATGCAGTTGATGTGAATAAGAAACAAAATTGGCCCCAGGGCTAATCATTGCGGAACACCAGAATTTATGTGTGAAAGTGAAGATGTATGTCCATTCTTATAAAGTTGTTGGCTGCGGTTGGTCAGAAAATTTCTTATCCATATAATATTTTTGCTGTTGATGTCCAAATTTGTTAACTTCATTATTAGGTGTATGTGTGGAACCTTGTCAAATTATTTTGCAAAATTAATAAATAGAGCATCTATTTTAAAACCAGCGTGAATAGCTTTGTGTAAAACTGTTATCGATTCAAACAGTTCAGTTTGACATGGACGACCGTGGAAGAAACCATGCTGATAAACACGTTCTTGTGCTCTTGCTGCCATGTTATACCTGGGAACGTTTTAATGTGATCGGCCCACTTAAATGTGTCTCCCTCTCATGCATTTGCCTTCGCTTGGAATCCAGGCAGTTACCCTTATTGACCAGCGGTTATCCTGCTTACGGCCCATGTCCAGTACATGTCCATTTCTTCTTGATTTCAACTATCATATCCTTAACGCCAGTTTGTCACTTAGCCACTTTGCTCTTTTTTTTTGTCTCTTAAGGTTGTACCTACCATATTCCTTTCCATCGTTCGCTGAGTCGTCATCAATTTAAGCTGAACCCTCTTTGCAAGCCTCCAGGCTTTTGCTTCGTAGGTAAGTACCGGCAAGATGCACGTGTTGTATACTTTCCTTGTGAGGATTAGTGGCAAATTACCATTCATGATTTGATTATGCTTGCCGAATCTGATCCACCCCATCCTTATTGTTCAATTTATTTTGCTCTGATTGTTCGTCTCCGCAGTCACTGCCTGTTCTAAGTAGGCATATTTTTTACACTCTCCAGCGTCTCTTCACCCGTCGTAAAGTGCTCCTTTTGCCGAGACTGTTGAACATTAGTTTTGACCATAAAACAGGCCGGAGACCATACAGTGGGGGACTATGGAATCAGCTCTAGAAATGTCAGAGAAAAGTTATTAGTAAGGTTCTATGAGTGTTGAAATTTACGGACCTTAAATACCCCTTTCAGAAAAAGGGCAAGAAGTAGTTGGCAAGATCTGATGTAGTGACCATAAAATTGTAAGACCTCCTATCCACCTAGATTAAAAAGGCAACGATGTGGACTGACACGGAAGAAGCAAAATAATGAGCTAGCGGTGAGAGTGAAAGTACAGAAATTCAGAGTTTTGCTTCAGAATATATTTGAAACTATAAACAGAATAATGGACGTTAGCATGCACACAATAAACGATAATCCTGAAAGTATCTTTAAAAAGTATGAAATGAATGACGGAGGTTCAGTCATTAGACAGGACGCTCGCAAAATACCTCTGGAGACAAGAAAATCTCACTATGAGACGACAAATCATGAAAGCCTAATTTGGAACCAACAATATCGAGCTGATGGTGCTTCAAAAGTAATTCAAAAGGTTCCACATATCCAAAATCAGAAAGTATAACAAGGAGAAAATTGACCGCGCTGTAAAACGCGGCCAAAGTCTAAAACCTGCGAAGGCAAGCTTGTGCATAGGCGAAAACCAGATGTATGCATTAAGGAAGAAGGAAGGCAGTGCCATAACCAATATGAATATGGTAATTGAGATGGCAGAGGAGTTCTACAGATAGTTTTATAGAAGCCGAAACAACCAGTATGATATCGTAAGAATCATCTTTCCCATTCGGCATCCTTCCAGTAACAAAAGGGGAAGTAACAAAAGCCCCAGAAGAAATGCAAAGAGGCAAAGCTGCTGATGAGGATAAGGTAACAACGAACCTGCTGAAAGATGGCGGATAAATTGTGTTAGAAATATTGAAACCGAATATATGAAGTGTCTCCTGACGAGAAGTGTACCAGAATCTCGGAAGAGCGCCAACATCACTTTTATCCACCAGAAAAAACACGTCCAGGACTTGAAAAATCAGAGGCCAATCAGCTTGCTGTCCGTTCTACGCAAACTATTTACAAACACAATAGTAAGCCGAACCAAGGCAATATTAGAGTTCAATCAACCAAAGGACCAAGTAAGATTTCGTACAGGCTACTCTACAGTAGACCGTAAGACGAAGTAATGAACTTTTTCTGAATAAACATTCATCCCTGCCTTCTTCTTACAGCGAAATCTGTTATGAGATCACTTTTCGGGTCACGTGCAGTTGTCCGCTGCACCTAACCACATCACGCGAAAATAAAAAGAAAAAAAACTTGCAATAATGACACAGTGAGGTTTCAACCCGAGTCCGCTGCGTGCCAGGGCAATAATCAACCACTGAGTTACACCGGTGCTTGTAACTTGTTGTCAAACTTGCCTTAGGCAGGCTTGATGACGGGAAAACAATCGCGTTAATACGACTTATAAAGCGTTTCACAACAGCGAAGGCACAATCAGTCGTCGCACAATGTGAATAGCGTAATGAGTGGGCCATCCAATGCTCCAAACCATCACAAAAGCTTGGTCTTGTTCCCCTACTAACTGTGGCACATACCCACTTCAGGCGTACTTCCTCATCGTCGTGCAGCCACTGAATGGACAATTGGCACAAAATTCCTTGCAAGTGTTTAGCGGATACCAGGTTTCTCAGAAGAATGACGAATAGTAGCATAGCGAATGCCAACCTACTAATCAAAAGTTTATTATTAATGCCCAGTGGGTACCAAGAAAGAGTGCTTGCAGTAGTTACCGAAGAAGTGTTTTGAAAAGCCTCTGAAAGGCCGCTCTTCTAGCTTTGGCTGTGACTGTGCTGTGCCTACCGGGCAGGCCTGGCGTTTTTTGTTTCTCTCTCTTTTTTTGTATAAACTTTGATCGAAATGGCACTCTGTGTCTGAGTACTGTCCCTCTGTCCGCTGCTGATGTCGCACCTTACACTTGAAATATGCTATGGTTGAAAGTTCATGTTCACGCCAAAGCTTATGGAGGTTTTCATACCATCACACAGTTGTTTCGGAATGAATTGTTCTACTTACTGGCTGCGGCATTACTTTTGTTACTTCCGTTATATATACAGCCTACCTGAATCACAGCCTTAAAACTGCATTTATTCGCTGCGGGTGGCTTCAATAAATGCGTGCAGATATATAACAGAAGGTACAACGAAGTTACCGACCTTAATAAACACTCTAAATGTTTAAGGTAGAAACAATAGCATTTTTTTTCTTTACATTAGAAAAAAATTATCATCGTCATACAGTGAACATTGTTTGAGTAGCTTGCTCGGAGGTGCATGGGGTGTTTCTTGGCAAAATCATTTCTGTGAGAAGGCTTCTTAACGAGCTGGCGCATGTTGTGTACGTCGGAGACAGCGTTCCCGATGCACGTTCTGCAGCCGGTTCTGCACAGTGTTGGCCACGTCAATCTACATGTTAACCACCTGCCTCTTTATGCTTTACTGGCTGCTGCCGTGAGTCAAATGCCTAGTGCTCATAAACGGCAGACTTGGAGCTATCAGGCGTTATGCAACGGGGTTTGAGAGGAGGCAGGTGAGGGAGCTTGAAAGGATGTCGGTATGCGTTCATAGCACACATCGTAGGAACTTGTCATGTGCTTCCGTGGCGACGAGAGCGAGATGGACGTAGTCGCAAGGATGCTAGCGCGCGGGTCATTGAAAATCAATGCCTTGAAAGATGGTGCGCCATCTAAAGCAACCTTGAAAAGCTTGCCCTGCTAAAACTGCTGTACACGCTGGTGGTCACCGGACAAGGTGCGAGCATAAGGAGCTTGTCAAGCAGGTTCTCGAATGTAGGTTCTACCTTAATTATCAAGCTTGCTATGCACCTCACCGTAATATTTATGGCCCTAAAACACGTAAGCTGGCTGATGTATTATTTTGTTTATTATAGGAAACAATGTCTTGCAATGTCGTAAGCAGAGAGGTAGATGTGTAGTATACATTACTGGCGTCCTGTTGAAAAATGTTCGACTAGCACGCGCGTTCAGTTGCAATTAGTGTAGGTTGGGCGATTGTTGTACCACGCCCGCTGGTATAATGGCCAGACTGCTTATTTGAAGCAACTAAGAAAAACTACAGCAGTAGCAAAAATTAGTACTGCTATTTAACTTACCCGCTGATCTAATTTTCACAGCGTCGAACACGGCAGCTGATTCAATATAAAAGTGACGAAATGTCCTGTCATAATTTTCAATGTGCCACCTATGAAATGTTAGAAAGACCAATGTAATTGAGCAAAAAGACTCACGCAGCGTGATTGGCAAGATTTGCTCACCTCCTGTGCTCTATGTGTCCTCTGTAAAAGGTAATGTTGCACTCATTGATATCCACTTTCCGGTCAACCTTGCAGAAGTGCCGCTCCCGGGATGTGGTGAAAGTAGTTCATATGAGTTCAGTTGTGTTCCAAAACTGCAAAACAAGTTGGACACGAGCAGTTTACAGACACGACAAAAGGGTTTCGACAATATTTGCAGGGGCATTTTAGGCACTTTTGAATTATATAAGATATAAGGACCACAATTTTGCGAATGCTCGATCTTATTCGTTATACCAGTATTGTGCATCAGCCAACCTAGGTGCGTGTTCAAAATAGTTCAGTGATTGGTTAAAGTATGAAGAATTCGGAAAACAATGTTGACAGAAATTTACATGTGAGTAGCCAGGCACATGTCAAGTAACATCATGGCAGAAATAACGGATACGAAATTTACTTTGTAAATCTTACACCACTTGGGAGAAACAGAACTATCTGCTCTCGTTCTTGCGTAGTTATTTTTGTAAGGTGGCGTTTATAAAGTTTACATATTGCCTGATATTCCTTAAAACGTGCCATATCAACCAATCATATGTTTAGAAAAAATGTAATTTCTTTACCTGAATATTTAAACTTGTATACATGTAAAGTGTAAAGCAATGCAAGTGATAATCGTAAAAAGCTTGAGGTTTTGTTTGAAGAAGCCCTAGAATGCAACATTTTTTTGTTAAAGCACATACTGCCATGCAGCTTATCTGGTAATTTGCTTAAAGTAATTTAGGAGACAAAATATCAAAAATAAGGAATGCCAAATGCAACATTCTTATTTTTGAAGCACAAAACGTCATTTCATAGCTGGGATAGGCGTGGCCACTGCAACATGCATATGCTTTTAATAGACAGACTGACCGGGCACCACAACTCTACTTATAAAACGACCACTATTGCAAGGACTGCTGGTTTTAGGTGTATAATTTTCTAAAGTAGCACAATGATATACTACTATGAGCTTTTTTCCAGCGCCGATCACAAGTGTGCCATTTGTGTAAATATTATTATTATGTATTCTTGTCACAATAGTAGTATACCTCGGTTGATTATTTCTTGATCCTCAGCCTTTTAACCAAATAAAGTTTGGTTCACACAACATGGCGTCACCCCGCAGCATTCTGCCTCTCATGCGGACAATCTTGCCGTCAGACCGGGAAGCTGCATGAACACTTAATAGAGGTTTTTAGCAAGCTACGGAAATACGTTACGGAAAGGCGGCAACATAGAAGCGGCTGACGAGTGTGCATGCGCGTCCATTGTACGCGCATACGGAAAGGAACCATGTCGTATTTCCGTAACATGTTTCCGTAGCTTGCTAAAAACATCTAATATAAGCCATCTCTTCCGTGGTCCCTCGTTCGACTTAGAGTGCTCTTTGAAGCTGTTCTCAGAAGTAGCTACTCATTTGAGGCATAACAAGAGGGTTCTCAATGTATTGGAGCCTAAAAAAGCTGTGGCTGGACCGGTAGAAAACTGCGTACCAATAAGAAGAAGGCAACAGAAAGGAACGTGGCAGCGGGGCTCTCATATTTGAAAGATGTTAATGTTTTACTTGCTCATCTGTTATTGCACGTGTTCTTCAGAAAATTATGGCCTTCTTATACACAAAAAGTTGGCGGATCGCACGTACAGTGAGAATCGGTAACATGCGAAAGACGAATAAGAAAAGTTGATATGTCACTTTAAAATAAACGCTAGGTTACGAGGTGGAGGTAAATGAGGCCAACATGTCTTCCGTGTCACGATTATCATGATTGGATGTGTCATTTACCTTCGTAATCTATTCACGTCACGTGATACCAAGTTTACTATTTGTGAAGCTAATGAAACGCCCGCGAGCACGCTATGAGCGTGGTATGTTGTCATGTTGTAACATGCCACGCATGCCAGGATTACCATGTTTGCACCATTCATTTATTTTGTCATCCATTGACGTCTCGAAACACCAATTTGGTATATGTGGAGCTAGCAAAACTGCTGCGAGCGCATCTTGAAGGGCCCAACATACTTCAATGTATTGTTGACGCACGCGCATGCTGGGCACAGTGACGCAACGTTAGCAATAGGCGAGCACTCTATATAGTGTGACGCCAGGCACAACCAGCGTCCGTCGGCGCGGCCCGACGGCGACCAGCGCGAAATTCGACATGCTACATTTTGAGGCAAAACGTTACCCACACAACACTGCGTCTTCCTCTTTTCGTGACGGAGGGACGCCGGACGCGCTGAAACGCGCATGCGTCAAAGTAATGCAGCGCGGCGAGCGCATGCGAGAATACGGCAGTACCAGTGCTTGGTGTGGTAACGCAGGGTGACGCAACGAAATGAACGCTGGCGAGCACGCACACCGCGTCACGTCAAAGTGTATTGGTGCATTGACTGTGGCAAGTATTCATGTTCTCACATGAGACGCATCTCATGATTATCATGTTTGAATCAGTCACGTACCTTCGTCCTTCATCGATGTCACGTAATACGAAATTTGGCATATGTGAAGCTAGCGAAGCGGCCGCGAGCACATCATGATTGTGGCATGTAGTCTAGTTGTTACATGACACGTATGTCGCGATTATCATGCTTGGATGTGTCATTTACCTATGTCGTCCGTTCGCGTCACGTAATACCAAGTTTGGTACATGTGAAGCTACGAAACGACCACCAGCACATCATGAGCGCGGTATGTGGTCATGTTGTTCAATGACATGCATCTCATGATTATCATGTTTGCACCAGTCACATACCGTCATCATCCATTCACCTACCGTAATATTCAATTCGGTATATGTGGCGTTAGCAAGACGGCCACGTGCGCATCAAGAGCACGGCATGGAGTCATCTTGTTACATGACACGCATGTCATGATTTTCAGAATATAGTTTGTCGCTTGTGCTCGCCATGTAATCATGTCATACCGTGCCAATTTTACAACGCAACATTCATGACATACGTATCATGGTTTTAATGTTATGACTAGTCAAAAATGTGCTTCATACAGTCATGGTATGCCATACCAAGTTTGGTATCGATACCATTATCGAAACGGCCTGGAGAGCTAAAAGTTTCATGTGGCTAGATAGATAGATAGATAGATAGGCTCAAAGTCACCGAAGTTTACTAAAAATGTTTGCAATCAAACAATGCGGACTTTATAAAACATGCGTGATTATCAACGCAACTTCTTACTGCTCACCTGAACTATATCTTCTTCATTACTTTGTATTTCACCCCGAGCCAACAACATTGTCATCAACAGGAAAAAAACACCGCAAACAGCACTTGGTTCTGTCATTCTGTGTTGTTTACAAAATTGTCAGTTTCAAACTCGGCAACTGTCAGAGTATATAAAGACAGCTCAGGCTGCAATGTTCATTTTGTATTCTTCACAAAACTGTCCGATGGAAACTCAGCAACTGTCGTAAATTATAAAGACAGCTCAAGCTGCAGCGTAAACTTGAAAGCGCAGCATTTTAAGGAATGTGTTAGAAACTGCACAGGATTTTTATTAATTTTTTCTAAAACATAAATAACGGTCTTATGATTTTCCCTGTACGAGAAACTTTACTGACGGCCACATCCAAATATTGTCCTATTCATGACAGCTGTCATTTACGACTATCGTATAAATGCTATCCAAATGCAAAGTACTTATTTTGACGCACAGTGAAATCGTCATTCCTAGCTGGGATAGGCGTGGCCACTGCAACAGCATAGCTTTAATAGAAGACTGACCGGGCACCAAAACTCTACTTCTAAAACGACCACTATTGCAAGGACTGCTGGTTTTTAGGTGTATAATTTCTAAAGTAGCACAATGATATACTACTATGAGCTTTTTTCCAGCGCGATCACAAGTGTGCATTGTGTAATATATATTATGTATCTTGTCACAATAGTAGTATACCTCGGTTGATTATTTCTTGATCCTCAGCCTTTTAACCAAATAAAGTTTGGTTCACACAAACACTGGCGTCACCCCGCCGCATTCTGCTCTTCATGCGGCCAAATCTTGCCCGTCAGACCGGGAAGCTGCATGAACACTAATAGAGGTTTTTAGCAAGCTACGGAAATACGTTACGGAAGGCGGCAACATAGAAGCGGCTGACGAGTGTGCATGCGCGTCCATTGTACGCGCATACGGAAAGGAACCATGTCGTATTTCCGTAACATGTTTCCGTAGCTTGCTAAAAACATCTAATATAAGCATCTCTTCCGTGGTCCCTCGTTCGATCTTAGAGTGCTCTTTGAAGCTGTTCTCAGAAGTAGCTACTCATTTGAGGCATAACAAGAGGGTTCTCAATGTATTGGAGCCTAAAAAAGCTGTGGCTGGCCGGTAGAAAACTGCGTACCAATAAGAAGAAGGCAACAGAAAGGAACGTGGCAGCGGGCTCTCATATTTGAAAGATGTTAAATGTTTTACTTGCTCCATCTGTTATTGCACGTGTTCTTCAGAAAATTATGGCCTTCTTATACACAAAAAGTTGGCGGATCGCCCGTACAGTGAGAATCGGTAACATGCGAAAGACGAATAAGAAAAGTTGATATGTCACTTTAAAATAAACGCTAGGTTACGAGGTGGAGGTAAATGAGGCCAACATGTCTTCCGTGTCACGATTATCATGATTGGATGTGTCATTTACCTTCGTAATCTATTCACGTCACGTGATACCAAGTTTACTATTGTGAAGCTAATGAAACGCCCGCGAGCACGCTATGAGCGTGGTAGTTGTCATGTTGTAACATGCCACGCATGCCAGGATTACCATGTTTGCACCATTCATTTATTTTGTCATCCATTGACGTCTCGAAACACCAATTTGGTATATGTGGAGCTAGCAAAACTGCTGCGAGCGCATCTTGAAGGGCCCAACATACTCAATGTATTGTTGACGCACGCGCATGCTGGGCACAGTGACGCAACGTTAGAAATAGGCGAGCACTCTATATAGTGTGACGCCAGGCACAACCAGCGTCCGTCGGCGCGGCCCGACGGCGACCAGCGCGAATTCGACATGCTACATTTTGAGGCAAAACGTTACCCACACAACACTGCGTCTTCCTCTTTTCGTGACGGAGGGACGCCGGACGCGCTGAAACGCGCATGCGTCAAAGTAATGCAGCGCGGCGAGCGCATGCGAGAATACGGCATAGTACCAGTGCTTGGTGTGGTAACGCAGGGTGACGCAACGAAATGAACGCTGGCGAGCACGCACACCGCGTCACGTCAAAGTGTATTGGTGCATTGACTGTGGCAAGTATCATGTTCTCACATGAGACGCATCTCATGATTATCATGTTTGAATCAGTCACGTACCTTCGTCCTTCATCGATGTCACGTAATACGAAATTTGGCATATGTGAAGCTAGCGAAGCGGGCCGCGAGCACATCATGATTGTGGCATGTAGTCTAGTTGTTACATGACACGTATGTCGCGATTATCATGCTTGGATGTGTCATTTACCTATGTCGTCCGTTCGCGTCACGTAATACCAAGTTTGGTACATGTGAAGCTAACGAAACGACCACCAGCACATCATGAGCGCGGTATGTGGTCATGTTGTTCAATGACATGCATCTCATGATTATCATGTTTGCACCAGTCACATACCGTCATCATCCATTCACCTACCGTAATATTCAATTCGGTATATGTGGCGTTAGCAAGACGGCCACGTGCGCATCAAGAGCACGGCATGGAGTCATCTTGTTACATGACACGCATGTCATGATTTTCAGAATATAGTTTGTCGCTTGTGCTCGCCATGTAATCATGTCATACCGTGCCAATTTTACAACGCAACATTCATGACATACGTATCATGGTTTTAATGTTATGACTAGTCAAAAATGTGCTTCATACAGTCATGGTATGCCATACCAAGTTTGGTATCGATACCATTATCGAAACGGCCTGGAGAGCTAAAAGTTTCATGTGGCTAGATAGATAGATAGATAGATAGGCTCAAAGTCACCGAAGTTTACTAAAAATGTTTGCAATCAAACAATGCGGACTTTATAAACATGCGTGATTATCAACGCAACTTCTTACTGCTCACCTGAACTATATCTTCTTCATTACTTTGTATTTCACCCCGAGCCAACAACATTGTCATCAACAGGAAAAAAAACACCGCAAACAGCACTTGGTTCTGTCATTCTGTGTTGTTTACAAAATTGTCAGTTTCAAACTCGGCAACTGTCAGAGTATATAAAGACAGCTCAGGCTGCAATGTTCATTTTGTATTCTTCACAAAACTGTCCGATGGAAACTCAGCAACTGTCGTAAATTATAAAGACAGCTCAAGCTGCAGCGTAAACTTGAAAGCGCAGCATTTTAAGGAATGTGTTAGAAACTGCACAGGATTTTTATTAATTTTTTCTAAAACATAAATAACGGTCTTATGATTTTCCCTGTACGAGAAACTTTACTGACGGCCACATCCAAATATTGTCCTATTCATGACAGCTGTCATTTACGACTATCGTATAAATGCTATGACAACATAGGACAATTTTGTCGGCAGTGATTTATTGCTAAAGTATAATAACCAAACACGTGCGGCTATAACCTTGATAGTTTCAGAAGAAAAAAAAACTTATAAAGTGAAAACGTCGGTGATATTTTAGGTGTACTATAAGTTAGTTTCTTGTAGATAGGTAACCTTTGATAGATCATCTTCGTGAACAACTGCAAACCACTGTTCTCTAACCACTGCTAGAGAACTTCGATGCTGTATAGAAGACATTTCACTGAATCACTAAACCAAAGGTAATGGAGACGTGGACACCTTGCAAGTGAACTTTTTTTTAGGCATTGGAGATACTTCGAAGCAGCTTACATTACCCGATGATGCGTTCGTTTTCTCCTGACATGGTTGAGATGTCCACCGAGAAGTGAAGCCACCAACTGAGAAGGCGATGCTATAGGCACCCGATTACATTATCGTGTTTTAGTGTTGAGGTCATGCTCAAGCGTCCTCTAACTCTTTGGCTCAAATTGTTCAGCCGGGGTTCAACAAGAGTTCACGACTGCGTTGGTATCGTTCACTTCATTGGTGTCAAAAAGTGCACAAGAGATGACACTTAAAAAAACAATGACTTCATTAGCTTCATAACCGAGGATGTCTTGTTTGCAAAGATAGATGCTGGGCGCTGTTTTCAATATTTGTTTGCGAAGCTTGAAAATGTGCATAATATGCCTCGATTCTGTATGTCATGGTCACCTTGTGTGGCGGGCTTGCGAAGTTTGGGAGCGGTGAGCTGAAGTACTGCACCGTGACACCAATGAACGTCGAGAGCACCAGCTTTGGTAGTCTCGAAACTTGTGCTTCATATTTAAAACTTATTCGGCATAGAAAAATCACCGAACACCCACATTTACTTGGTACTACAAGATCCAGCTCGTCACCAAGACGCATATAACACCGCAATCAAGGTGAGAAGTCAATTTTTCTCTACTGCACGGTCATTTAAACATCGGAATCTACGCATCGAGAGCCGGGACGTGCACATGCATGGCTGCCGCCACTGCCGCTGCCACGAACGCTGCTGAGCAGATAGCTGGTAGCAAGGAAGCACTGGTCGATGCGCCTTAAACACCTCATTTTTCTAACAAGATGGAAGTCACCGTGGATGGTGAAGAGGTCTGCAGTGATGATCTCGAAGAAAACGCAGGGTGGCGGACGGTAGGCACACAGAAGTCAAATCGCGGGCAAGTGTTCGCTCCTCGCGCGGATACTGCAGATGGCAACTACAACAAGATAAAAGGCGGGAAGCGTCTACGACACCCCATCAAAGCAAGTCACATGCCACATTTACCTCGAGGCGACTACAAGATAATTATACGTCCAAGGGGGGCCTCCGCATCGCTGATCACGGAGCTGTCCGCATAGGGACCAGCGTCTACCAAGCAGCATCAATCCCGAAAGAAGCTGAAGATGAGGACATGGTCTGCCCTAATTCAACAAAATATCATTGTCGTGGGTACACTCATTGTTGCACATGCTGATAAATATTAACCTATAACCCACATCACGGTCGGCAAGAACACGTATAAGACCAGTGCCTACAAGGCGGCGCTGGACTATACTTCCAAAGGCGTAATACGCGGCATTTCCCCGGAAAATAGCGCCCACGACATCACCGCCAGCATTGTCACACCCAGAAATCCCACGGCATTGGCTGCTAAAAGGCTGAGTAACACAATGGCAGTGATCGTGCTGTTCGAGGGATTCAAGGTACCGACGTACGTTCGCTACGGTGGAGCTCTGCTGCGATGCTCCCTATACCGGAAACAAGTCGATATATGTTATT